GGGGTGTGCAGGAGGGGTGTGTGGGGAGGGGGGTGTGTGGGGAGGGGTGTGTGTGGGGAGGGGTGTGTATGGGGAGGGGTGTGTGGGGAGGGGTTTGTGGGGAGGGTGTGTGGGGGGAGGGGTGTGTGGGGAGGGGTGTGTTGGGAGGGGTGTGTGTGGGAGGGGTGTGTATGGGGAGGGGTCTGTGAGGAGGGGTCTGTGGGGAGGGGGGTGTGGGGAGGGGGCTGCGTGGGGAGGGGTGTGTGGGGGAGAGGTGTGTGGGGAGGGGTGTGAGGGGGGGGTGGGGCGGGGTGTGGGGGGAGTGTCGGGGGCAGGGAAGCTGGTAAGAAGAACAAGGAAGATGAGAGTAAGTCTTGTGATGTTTCCTGCAAAATTTAATTTCTTATGAAACAGTATGTGTAAAATGAGTTCTATAAAGCTCGACAATTGTTTCTTCTTTTTCTGAGAAATGAGCTTTTCATGAAAATCAAGTTACTGTTTCAATAAAAATACTCCTGAGAGCTGACGGAAACTGGAAATTCAGTGACAAGGACAGTGTCTAGGGAGTCAGCACTTTCCAAAACTCCGTCCAGGTTGGGTACACAGAAGGCCTCCAGTCCCCACCCCAGAGGGGAGGCCCCTCCCTCCTCTGAACCCCAGTGAAGCTCACGACTACATCTCTAGAAGGAAGCTCACCTTATCTTTATTGCCCCCATTTGCGGAACATGGGAGCGCAGCAGGGGCAGGAACCCCGCCCCACAGCACCACGTGGCTTAACCTTAACCGAAGACTATAGGGGCTTACAGAGAAGAGCGAGACTGAGGGCGTGTGAGACTCAGGAATGGAGGGCAAAAAGGGCGCCTGAAGAAGTTTCATTCATGCATCAAACTGCTCACAGAAGCCTGGGCTAGGTTCTAAGGATACACAGACAGCGCTCACACCCTGCTTGTAAGGCTGGGCTTGGGAGCAGACTGGTAAGCCAACAGCTTCAGTGACCCTGGCTGGAGGGGTCCCGCAGAATCAGTACTGTGCTAATGGGAAGCAGAGGAAGGAGGGGTACTTTCTGCTCACAGAGTCCAGGAGAGCTTCCCTGGACTGGGAACTTCTGAGAATGAGGAAAGGGAAAGGACAGGCCAGAGAGGAAACCACAGGCCAGGGCCAGGAGGCTGTGCAAGCCCAGAGCCTTTCAGTAGTGCTGGCTGGCTGGCCTCGAGGCCAGGTGTGTAAGGAAGCGGCGGGAGGTGGAGCTGGAAAGGTAGGCCGGGAAGGGCCTTGAAGGTCTGCACGTAGTGAGGGCTCTGTCCTGCAGGCAACGGGGGGGTTGCTGGCGCTTTCTCAGTGGAGAGGGCAGTGCGTGGTGAGAGCCTGCTCTAGGAAGATGGACTGGGCAGGTAGCTGGAGGCTGGATTGTGGGTGGAGAGAAGGGGGCACCAGCGAGGAGCCTGATGCCACACTGCAGGCGAGGAGAGATGAACGTCATGTCAGGGCGGAAAGAGAGGTGGACATCAGATTGGCCAGTCTTGGCAACAGATGGTTCATGGTAGGAAAGGGAGAGGAGGGAGGAGTTAGAGAAGACTCTGCTTTCGAGTCCAGGGGGCTGGACTCGTGGATGGCAGTGCCATTCACGGAAGCTGGGGACATGCAGTAGTGGGCAGGGGAAGACGCTGAGTGCAGGTTTGGGCATAAAGAGCTCCGGGATGGGGAGACATCCAGCAGCGCGGACCAGGATGGGATCAGGCAAGGTCAGGCTTAGACGTCAGAGAGGCAGGCTGGGCCTGGTGATTCCCCGTGTTGGAGCCCGCCCCCCTCTTCTCCGTACCTTCTCCCCTTTCATTCCAGGAAGGCCAGAGGCTCCATCAAGTCCAGGCTTTCCCTCAGGGCCCTGAGGAACATCAAGGATAATCAGCCCACAACATCTCTGAGAAGAATCAAATATGAACCCTCTTTGGAAAAGGAGGCCAGGGCTGGGAAGACCAAGTGGGTGAGGCCAGTGGGTCCAAAGCCTTGTGTCAGCCCATAGCAGAACACCTGTCCTGGCCCCAGTTCAGCCACGGCCGGCTCTGCATCTGTGGACGAGGGTCCTTCACTCTCTGGGTTGCATTTTCTCTTCTGTGGGGAGTCGGTGGCAGGGCTGGACGAGGTAGTTTCTGGGGGCCTCCCACCCCGGGCCCAGCACTGGTGCTCTACGATTCTGAGATTCTACGGGAGCCTGCATTTCCTACACTAAGATAAAGCAGCGGAACAATGTGCAGGGTGATGTTTTTCTTGGCTGCTGCTTTTTTTAAAAAATAAATTTTATTTATTTATTTTTGGCTGTGCTGGGTCTTCACTGCTGCTCGCGGGCTTTCCCTAGTTGCGACAAGCAGGGGCTACTCTTCGCTGCGGTGCACGGGCTTCTCATTGCGGTGGCTTCTCTTGTTGTGGAGCACGGGCTCAGTAGTTGTGGCACACGGGCTTAGCTGCTCTGCCGCATGTGGGATCTTCCCGGACCAGGGCTCGAACCCGTGTCTCCTGCATTGGCAGGCGGATTCTTAACCGCTGAGCCACCAGGGAAGCCTGGCTGCTGCTTCTTATGAGTCTTAGTAATGTTTCAGCCGAGGAGGAATTTGTTTACAAACGCTAGCTAGTTCCTCGCTCCCTGTCGTAAGCCTTAGCGCTGGGGTCTGCAGTCTGTACCCCCTCCCTGGCTAAAGGAAGCCCCATAGGCACGGGGGTGGGGGCAATGGCTTCAGCAGCTTACCGGGGGACCAGGTTCACCAGCAGGTCCATCTTCTCCAGGGGATCCAGGGGGTCCCATGAAAACATCAGTTCCTGGTTTTCCTGGAATCCCAGGTAACCCAGGTGGGCCTGGGGGACCTGGAGGACCCTAAAAATAGACACCTTGTTAAGAAACAGTGCAGGAGGGGACAAATATATATGTTCCATTCACTCCATTTCTGAAAACAACTCTACAAGTAGAGACTGGTATTCCTACTTAGAAGATGGGGAAACTGAGGCTTAGTGACATGATGTGACTTGCCCAAGAGCTCACACACACAGCTAATTAGGAGAAGAGCTGGGATGTGAATCCAGGTCTTTTTAAGCACATTATATCATGTTTTCTCCCCAGATGTATGTACATAATAAAAATATAATTTGTTGGAATTCTCAGAGTTGCTCTAATTTAGTTTTCTGATTGCCTGAGAGGTTAGTCCAAAACTGCCTATTGTTAACCCTTATTAAAAACATCCCTGCAGTGTACTAGTCTCTTTAGCCTCGGGCTGGGTTGGCTGATGCCACCAGCTTGGAAGTCCCAGCTGGGTCCCGCTCCACTCATCCAGTGAGTCCTGAACCCTTCCAGCCCTGTCATGATGAGCGAGCAGAAGGGCAGCCCAGTGGAGCCTTCTAGGTGGGGATTCAGCACAAGGGCTCAGAGGAAGGGATGGAGATGAGGTTGGGGCCCTGTGGACAGAGGCGTGAGATGCAGCTGAGAAGAGAGGTGCTCCCGGGGGAAATCTAGAGGGACCAGTGGGGGCCCAGCCTTGGGCAAGAGGCTGGGAGAGCAAGAGGCGCCAAAGAGGCAGAATGAGTGGTCTGGAGACGCAGGGAGGGGGCCGCCTCAGGGTAGGAAGGATTTTGAGAAGGGTCTGGAAGCCAAAGTGTGAAATGCTATCTAGAGAAGAGGCCAGCAGGTCTCTGTAATGGGTAAGGGGGTGGGGGGCAGAGCCAGGTGGTAGAGGTGAAGGTCATGGGCATACCTGCTGTGAAAGAGCCTGCTGGAGAAGGCTGCCGGGGGAAGGAGGCAAGTGGCCGAGTGGGGCTCCTGACTATAAACTAAGGCTCAGACTCACTTAAAACTGATGGAAGACGGAAATGCCAAACATACAAATATAGAGGGGAAAGGATAGTGAGTCCCAGGAGCCCACCATCAGCCGCAAGAGTTATCAACGGTGGCAACCTGCTTTCATCTGCTATCGGCCCCTGTTGTCCCTCCCTCCTGGATCCTCGTGAAGGCTGCCCCCGACACTAGGCTGTTTAACCCTTCACACTTACTCTTAACAGCTCCTCGCTGGGCACTGGGTCACCAGAGCCGACGTCCACGCCCCAGCCCAGGCTGGAGCCCTCAGCCTCCACTCCCACCTGTACAGAGAAAAAGTTCCCACGGCTTGGTTTCACCTGCTCCTCTCCAAGGACAGCTGTGTCACTGAAAGTTTTCCCACATTCTGTGGCCCTATAACTGCTGCTGCCAACTTTCCTTCTGGCTTTTTCTCCCGGTCCCCTCTACAGCTGCCCTCCTCCCTCTCCCCCTCCCTGCTGTGCGGCCAACACACAGCCAGTCCTCAAACACAGGACACTCTTTCACAGCCTCTTCTGCTGCCTTTCAAATCCCTACTCATCCTTCAAGGCCCAGTTCCATGGTCACCTTCTCCATGGAGCCCTGCCCAACCCCATTTTCAGAGAGAATTCACCTCTCCTACTCTGTGTTCCCACCAGCCACTGCGAGGGTCTGGATCTGGCAGTAGGACCACCTGACTTGAAGCTCAGCTGTGCGTGTGTTGGTCCCACTACGCTAGGACTCCTCCAGGGTCGGCCCAATCCTGAGATACCTCTGGGTGCCCAGTGTCCAGCATGAGATCTGACACTGAGAAGGCACTCATTATGTACTTGTTGAATACCATCAAATTCCTCCAAAGAACAAAAGGAAACTTCCAAAACACCTTTCTGGTACTCAGTTCCTGAAGATGGGAACCAGGCAAGGCCTAATTCAATCATCAAATAAGGAAGAGCTGGGTTAGGGGTTAGAGCTGAGTCTAGGCAGGTTGTGGCAGTGTGGGCATGTAGGTGGGAGAACGGGGGTGATGACATAAAGGTGAGGAGACGGAGGCTGTTGCCAGCATCCAAGGGATGAGGAGGTGCTGCACAGCTAGACTCGGGGGCTTCGGGACTGACTGAATTGAGGGGGGGCACTCGAGGATGTTTCCTGGCTTCTCTCTTCATGATCAGGAAGATGGGGTACCATTCCCAGAGCAGGGGAACCCTGTGGGGAGAGCAGGCCTGGGAGCATGGTGACAAGTGCAGTTTGGGATGTGCTTAGTTTGAGGGACCTGGGGGTCTTTCAGGGCACAGGATATAAATGGGATGTAAATAGTTTCTGCTCCTGGACTCTCTGAGAGAGTCCTGCTACAGGAAAGAGAACTGAGCTCTGACTGGAGGGCACTTGGGGGCAGACAGGAAGGATCCGCCTGTGGCTGTTTTGTGCATCCCCATCCCCTGCACACTGTGCATGTGACAACCCCGGGTGGGAATCTCACCGTGGGTCCAGCAGGTCCAAGGGGGTCAGGAAGCCCCTCCCCAGCTTCACCCTAAAGAGAACAAGATGTCAGTGGAACACTGGACACCCCTTCCCACTCCCCTCCTCTCTCCAGAAACTGTGCTTATTTCAAGAGGAGGCTTATGCAGGAGTTCTATATACCTAATTTGTTGAGCGTGTACTATGTGCCAGGTAAAGTTTTCCATGTATTCATTCATTTAATCCTCACCACATCCCAGAGAGAAGGTTCTACAATCCCCATTTTATACATGAATAAACAGAGAGAGGGGTGTGGCAGAGCCAGACATGAATGCCCCTCTCACCCACTGCCTTCGGTGACTCTGAGATTCAAAATGATCCAAAAGATATTCCAGAGTGGGTACTCCCATGACTGTCCCTACTGTGTTATTAAACTGTCTGCTCAGGAATTGGGGCACCCATTTCAATTCATCACAAATTCCTGACACAGGCACTTAGGGTGATCTATCTTCATTACTTATGTGCCATGATGAAATCCTGCATGTTCATCTCTCTCTTTCACCTTTCTCCCCACACCTCTCTCCCTCTCTCTCTCTTCTTGGAGCTTTTTAAAAATCTCATTGGATGGGAATTCCCTGGCGGTACAGTGGTTGGGACTCTGTGCTTCCGCTGCCGTGGCCCGGGTTCAATCCCTGGTCGGGGAACTAAGACCCCTGCAAACATGGAGAGGCCAAAAAAGAAAAATTAAAAAAAAATTTTTTTAAACATCTCATTGGAAAAGTCAGAAGCCCCCTTGATGGAAAAACCACCATGTATTAGGAACCTACCAACCCTCACAGTTCTACTACTTTAAGGCCACAACTGCCGATATTTAGGGAAGGTATTTCCTTCCAGGGTTTTTGCATGTGTCTATTTTTAAATAGTTAAGACCACCGTAGGACCACCTGACTTGAAGCTCAGTTGTGCGTGTGTTGGTCCCACTAGGCTAGGACTCCTCCAGGGTCAGCCCAGTCAGTATACTGAAGTTCATAACCAGCTTTTTTTCCACTTAGCATTATATGGTAAGTATTTTCCTCCATCATTAAATACTCCTAATAAGTATAATTTTAATAGCTGCATAATGTTCCATTATTTGAACATCCTTTAATTCAGTTAACTCCCCTATTGTTGGCTAGTTAAACTGTGTCTAGTTTTTTTCCATTATGGACAATACTGAGATTAACATCCATGTACACAAAGCCTTTTTACACAACAGACTATCTATCTCCTTTAGGATTGATTCCTAGAACAGAAGTGTCTGGGTCAACAATATGCAGTTTTATGGTGTTGATATGTGTTGATCAAGAACTTCTCAGCAGTAGTAAACCACTGACACTGTCACCAGCATAGCTGGTCTCACCAGGCCCTCACCAAGTGCCAGCTTCTGAAAGCACAAAATATAAAGGATCCAAGGACAACTGAACCAGGTTTCCCAATAAATCAATGGCAAAAAGAACAAAGTAGGTGGGAAGCAATCATAGACCAAAAGAGACTTAAGAGACACATCAACCAAACACAAAGCAGACCTTGTTTGGATGCAGATTCAAACTAAGTGCAAAAAGGCATTTTTAAATAACTAGGGTATTAGATAATATGAAGGAACCACTGTCAATTCTGTTAGATAGATAATGACATCCATTATTACCACTGATGGATGACACTGTGGCCAAGGGGAAAAAAAGGTCCCAGATCAACCTATTAACAATGCACATTAACACGTTTATGAGTTAAATGATACAGTGTTTGGGATTTGCTTTAAAATACCCCAGTCTTCCCCTTCCCTCCACTCCAAAAAGATGGCTGTAGGAGGTGGAACAGATAAAGCACGACTCGCGTAATGTTGCTGAGTGATGTGTATGTGGGGGGGTTATTATACTATTCTAAGTCCTTTTGTGAATTTTTAGAGTTTCCATAATAAAAAGTTTTAGAAAAAGAAAAAGGAAAACTGGCTCTACGTGAAGGTGCATCGCCAGCCAGTGCTGCTGCACCTGATGTGGCATCACCGTGGCGAGATGCAGTCTTGGTGTTTTGTGTGTCCCTTGGGGTGAGAAGCAGAGGAGCAGGGGGGCTGTTTAGCGAGCCCAGGGCCACAGGCATCACAGCCAGCCTGGTGGCTTCCATGTTTGTTGCCCGGTAGAGTCTCCTGGGAGCATGAGCCCCAGCACCAGGGGCTCCTCAACTGGTCTGGCAGTGAACTCGGACACCTGCAGCGGCCTAAGCTTCCCAGGTGTCTCTAAGATGAAGAAAAGGTTAAAAACCAGAGCTCTCGCTCGCTTCCTCTTTTTATAGACAGCAACACCAAGACTCACCACAAGTCAGAACCTCAGCCTCCCGGCTCCCATTCTGGGACCTCTCCACCATACCACACTCTCGGGGATGCTCTAGGGCATGAGCTCTGCAGGCCAGCACGCCTGCGTTCAAATCCCAGCCCTGCTCTTAAGGGTGTGCCACAGCAGGCAGGTTCCTTTACCTAAGTCTCACTCCCCTCACCTGGAAAATGGAGACGATTCTCCTTGTACCAGAGAGCGGTGGTGTGCATAGAATCAGATCAAGTTGGAACCCAGAGTGCTTAATAAATGTCAGTACAAAAGGCTTATTTCCAGCCCCTTGACTGTGAGTTCCTTGGGGACAGGGACGAGGTCATATTCATCTCAATCTCCAAGTGTATGGACTGAGGGCCCTGAGTTGCTATGCACTGAGTCAGGGAGAACATCAATGAGTGAATGAATAAAAAATAAAGAGACCAAGCAGTGCTTAATGACCGCCGGGCGCTGCAGCCGTGGGCATTCAGGATTCACAGCCAGCTCTCGGGTGTCCTGTCCCACAGCCCTCCCATCCCAGGTCAGCCCTGGAGCACTGTGGCCAAGGGACCACATGTCTGTAACTTGAGTCAAGGCTCTGAAAGCATGTGTGACCAAGTGTTGCTCGGGGAACTGGCAGGCCCAAGCTGGTCACCAATCGAATTCTTTCCTTTAAAAATATTGACACTTAGGGCTTCCCTGGTAGTGCAGTGGTTGGGAGTCCGCCTGCCGATGCAGGGGACACGGGTTCGTGCCCCGGTCCGGGAAGATCCCACATGCCGCAGAGCGGCTGGGCCCGTGAGCCATGGCCGCTGAGCCTGCACGTCCGAAGCCTGTGCTCCGCAACGGGAGAGGCCACAACAGTGAGAGGCCCGCGTATCGCAAAAAAAAAAAAAAAATATATATATATATATATATATATATATATAGAGAGAGAGAGAGAGAGAGAGAGAGAGAGAGAGAGAGAGAGAGAGACACTTAAATGGCAATTTAATTCCCCAGTTCACACAAGCCCATGCTGAGGACCAGCTCTGGGTTTCCCACTTCTAAAAGACAAAGTCACAGCCCTTAAGTGGTGACAACCTCACACCTGTGCATAGAACTTTCCGAACATTCCCTGACCTGCATTCTGACTTGACCTCACAGCCACCCTCTTCTACAGATGAGGAAACTGAAGCCCAAAGAAAGGGATTTGCGTGAGGTCGTACAGTTGCAACCCAAAAACTCGTGTTGGAAAGGACCTGAAGGTGACCCTCTGCCCCCTCCCCCCCACACACAAACACACCTCTGATGCTTCTATTTCCTCTACAGTCCCTGCCACGTCTTACAAGCTTCCCCACCTCCAGGATGGAATCTAATGACACTTGAGATAGGCCTTTGTATCTTCAGGCAGCTCTGCCTGTTAGAAAGCTCTCATTCCAATTAAAGAAGTGGGCAATTTGGGACACAAAGCCAGGTGCCCTAGGTTTTTACCTCTTGCTTCTTCTTCTCCACAAACTGCAGCTTCCTTGTGCGTTCCTAGGTTGGAGGACCCTCAAAAGCCCAAATTCCGCATTGTGCGAACCAAAATGAAAACCTCCCTCTAGGAAAGCCAGGAGCAGGCCCTTCCCATGCCTCTGGTCTTTCGTTTTCTCCTCTGTAAGACCAGCCAAGTCAAATCTTCATGCCTCTACGCAAAGTGAAATCTTCACTTACCGGAGGGACTCCTCTTTCAGGAGCTACTGTGGGTATGGGAAGCGGGGGCCCCTCAGGGAGAGCGCCACCCAACTCTTCTGCCCCAGCCGTGGGAAGGGACTGCTCTGTTGTGGCTGCTGCTAAGTCTTCATCACCAGGACCCTGAGAAGCCAAACCAACACGATGAATCAAGTCACCTCACCCATGATGCAATGTGCACACTGCTGCTGGGGAGTTTCGTTGACTTTCCTTTCAGTGGCACTAGCCCAATTTCAAAGCACTTCCCTACCTACAACTGTCATTACACCCAACACACTCACAGAAGCACAGACTCATAATCCCCTTCTGAAACATGCATCTCCTCTAAACCCCCTCCCCAGTCATGGTGCTTACTGCCTCTCACCCCAGCAATGCTGTCTAACTTTGGACCACATTCCGAGAAAGTTCTCCTTGGACAAAGATGGGGGTAGAGGGTCAGGACAAAGCCTGCTCCCCTGACCCCCTCTGCTCTGCTCCTTCAGTTACATCCTGCCTCCCTCCGGTTGGTGCCGACCCAGATAAATGCTCTAACGAAGCTGCCTGTGCACTTGGCTCTGGGAAGGCCGGCAACAGCTCCTGTCTCGTGACCCTGACCTCTCTCCCCACTGTGAGCCAGAGAGGATGCTAGGAGACACTTACGGAAGTGACTACTTGCTTGGGGGCCGCTGTGGGTGTGAGGGGAACCAGGCCATCAGTGGGGAACCCGCTGGCCTCCTCTTCCGCAAAAGTGCTGAGGGGCACTTTTGCTGTAGCTATTGTTAAGCTTTCTTCACTGATTGGACCCTGAAATGAAATTGGCATAAGGGATCGTGACACTTCATCCACACCCCTGGTTGGTGGGTGTGTGATTATGGGGAGGAACCTGCTGAGGCCATCACATACCTCTCAGGTCGTCCCCTCCCTGCCCCGGAGTACCCTCCAGCACACCTCTGCCACGTGCTTTGGCCCAAACCTGCGCATCCTCAGGAACTGGCACTCCCTACCTCCGCAGGAAGCCCTTCTGTCTCCAGACAGCTCTGCTAGTTAAGTTCTAGTTTCTGTTGAGTAAAGACTTGGTAGAACTGGGACCTGAACCCTAGTTTTCTCAGCCTGTGACAAGGGATTTGCCTTTAAAGAAGAAGGAAAGGTAAGGAGGGAGGGAAGAGAGATGAAGGAGTAGAGAAGAGAAGAGGAAGAAGAAGCAGGAGAAGGTGGTGGTGACGATTTGTTAATTACAATAATCCATGTAACTGCCAAGTGGCCTTGGGAGCCCCGTCACCTGGCCAGGGCACACCTTCCCCACTGTAAGGTTTCCTTGTCTGGACATTAGACCAGAGGTGAAGGGCTGGGAGTGAATGTGTGGAATGATCTCAAAGGCCAGTGTTGACATGTGATGGCCTGACAAGCCCCTCGTTTCACTCACTCAGCAAACATCTACTGAGTCCCCAGCATCAGCCGGGATGAAGACAGATCAGTGAGCAAGACGTATGTGATCCCTGGCCTCACAGAGCCTCCAGCCTGGAAGGGAGCCAGTTGTGATGAGGCCTTCCGAGGAGTCGTTTGGGGTACTGTGAATGTGTCTAATGGGGAGACTTCACAGCCTGGGAGGCACCTCCCTGATGAAGCGGTGTTTGAGCTGAACTCTAAAGGATAAGCAGGAATTAAAGGAGGGAAGAAGGAGAAGGAAAAGGTTCCAGGCAGAGAGGGGAGGGTGTGGGAAGATTCTAAGGCAAGAAGGAAATAGGTATGCTCAAGAAACTGAAAGGCCAGTGAGGCTGGAGCACCAAGAGCAGGGACAGTGGCCCAAGATGTGGACCTAGAGGCTGGCGAGGCCAGACCCTGCAAGCCTTGGAGGCCAGGTGCGGGAGCGGGGTCTGCAGTGAGGACAATGGTCCACAGAGGGCTGCCCCCACCAGGAGGAGCCGGGGGCAGAGAGGATGGAGGAGGCCAGGAAGGGCCTTAACCATTGCCCGGGCTGGGGATGTGGTGTCTCGGTACAGGGGGCTGGCGTTGGAGAAGGGTAGAAGGAGGCAGATCTGTGATGTGCTGGGGTAGAAAAATCAAAAAGACTTGACATGTGACAGACGTGGAAGTAAGGAAGAGGGAAGAGAATTCTGGATTAGGCAGCTGGGGGATGATGGTTCCATCATCTGAGATGGGAACACAAAAGGAGTGGAGACAGGAGTCTAGGTTTGAATCTGTTGAGTCTGTCCTAGGATACTTGCATCCTGTCTTCAGGAGTTGGGAGCAGTGTCTCCGTGAGGCCTGAGGAGAGGGCTGAGAAGGCCTGGCCATGCCCTTGGACCCCGCCAGGGCCTGCCTGCACCTGGACCCTCCACTGAGCTCTGAGAACCTGTGCTTGCACCCAGAAACGGGCATGGCGGTGCCTGCCATCACCTCCTCCACTCACACCCAGCACTCCTCCACCCCGGCTCCCGAGCCCTGCATCAGCCTGCTCTGTCCCCACGCCTCCAGGGCCCACAGTACACTCACCAGGCACTGGAAGACTCCACCTCTGAGGGAGTATTTGGTCAGAGAGGTGTCCCCTCCCCATTCAGGTTCTTCTGGATTTGCTGAACAGAATGGAGACCGGCCCCCTGAGAAGGCCAGGATCCGCTCCCAGCTGTGACCTCAACTTTCCAGCACGTTATACTCCTTACCAAAGTGAGCCCTTCCCCAGGGTCCTGAGTGGGCATGGAGAGGGTCAGTCCCCCGGTGGGCACACTGCTGGCCTCTGCTTCCCCGGCACTGCTGACGGGCACCTCGGCCTCCCCTGCTGCTGTCGCTGCTGAACCTTCTTCGTTATCTGGACCCTGAATAGGAAGACGTCACAAAGGGGCCCCATCACTGATCCGCTGCGCTGTGGCCAGGGGAAGCTAAAACTGCCCTCCCCGAGGTTACTGATCATTGTGGTGACAGGTCCAATAGATGCTTCCCAGGCCTTTACTCACTGGGACTCTTGGCAGGAGGTGACATCGTTGGCCACTCCCAGAGCAAGAAAACACCACCCCTGACCCAGACCTAGACACAGCCTCCAAACCCACCACCCTCCCCCCAAGGCTTGCTTCCCCCAGTCTTTCTAAGATCCTACTGTGACTACATCACTTCCTGCTTTAATACCCTTCATCCCACATATTGCATTGATATACGATATTTGCTTTTCTCTTTCTGACTTAATTCACTCTGACTTCTGTATATACAGCAGAAACTAACACAACATTGTAAAGCAACTATACTCCAATAAAAAAATTTTTAAATAAATAAGTAAAAATGAGAGCAAAAAATATTTTTTAATAAATAAGTAAAAATGAGAGCAAAAATAAATAAAAGTTATATATTATTTAAAGGAAAATGAGCTAAGATCAAATAATTGAGTTTAAGGTCACTCATGCTTTACTGGAAGCTGAAATTAAAGAGCATGTATAAAATCTGGAAAAAAAAAAAAACACCCTTCAGTGACTTCCCATTTCTGCTGGACACTCAGGCTCCGTCTCACGGCGTCCACGGTCTCAGAGGCTTCTCTAGCCACATTTCCCCTCCCCATTGCTCACGCCGGGCCCCACAGCCATGCTGCGCTTGTTTAGGTCTGTGTGTGCTCCTGTTGATGCCTCCAGGCCTCTGCTCCTTCTGGCTCACCTCCCAAACACACGTCTCACCCCATCACTTCTAAGCATCCCCCTGGTCTCGCCTTCAGCCTCCTTTCCCCAGGAAGGCTTCCTGGTCCCCCGAGTCTGGGCTCTGGGCCCCTTTTGATGCTCCCCTGTGCCTCTATTGTCCCTCTTCCCTCTCTGTTCCCAGGAGCTGGGTCTATCCTATTCACCTGGAGCCCAGCACAGCACTCCACAAACACCTGCTGAATGAGTCAACAGAGGCCTCGGCCTCCAAATCAGTGTCTACTGGGACTCGGCCCCACAAGGATGTCACTCTGTCCTTTGCAAAGAGGTGAGGAAGGCCAGTGACTGCTCCCACCCGAGCCGCAACCAAACTCCAGAAGCAAGTGAAGCGGAGCATGTGCTCTGAGCTAATTACCAGAGTGACCCCTTCCCCAGGGTGCTCGGTGGACATGGAGAGGGTCAGTCCCTCGGTGGGCACACTGCCGGCCTCTGCTTCCCTGGCAGTGCTGATGGACACCTCGGCCTCCCCAGCTGCTGCTGTTGCTGCCAAACCTTCTTCCATATGTGGACCCTGGGAACAAAGGCATCACTAGGGACCCCGTCACTTGCCCATGCCCCCGATCAAGGTGGCTGTGGCTGGAGAAGCCTGACTGCCTGTGTCCTCCGGCCGCTTGCATTTCTGTAGCTTCTTTCCTCAAGGCACTTTGTTATCTGTGATGTTACCCCAGCTCCACAACAGTCCCACAATCCCTGTGGCAGGAGAGACTGCAAGGCACATGTGTCTCCCATGTGATTCCAAGCATCTGTTTGCCACACCAGTGACTGGGAGATCAGTGCCTCCTGAGACACATATAGCTACGCCTCCTGCTATAGCGCCAGACACTTCAATCTAGACCTGTCTTCCTCCCTGTGACCTCCCCTACGTGCGCATCCAGGAGCCATAAGAACAGGGCAAGTGTCTTCGTCCATGATGGTGCTTCAGAGGTACGCAGGCAGCAACCCCGCCCTCCTCAGCCTTCTCCAGACTGGACACCCCCCCTCTTTCCCTGTGACTCAGTTTCTGCGGGAAATTCACAGGCAGATTCTCTGAAGGTTACACAGCAGATGCAGGAAATGGCAACAGAGAGCAGCTTTGGCTGTTGATGTCACCAAACCGACTGTTTTATCTGTTTCACAAAGGTTTGTTTTTTAAAAAAATTTGGGTGGGGTTTTGCTTCGTTTTGCTGCAAAAAGTAGTTCTTTGGGTTTTTTTTTTTTGTTTTTCAGCCACACCTCATGGCTTGCGGGATCGACCAGGGATTGAACCCTGGCCCCGGCAGTGAAAGCCTGGAATCCCAACCACTAGGCCACCAGGGAACCCCCCAAAAATGTAGTTCTTTTGGATACTAAAAACACTAGGCTGATCAGAGTTAGACATATTTCTTTGCTGAAGGACTTCTCAGAGCCTTCTCTGTGAGAAGAATACAGAGTGGATCATTCCCCAAACTTACTGGTCTACAGAACCATTTTTCCATATAACATCAAATCCTTACAGAATTACTGTCCCCCCAAAACAGAGAAAAGATGGTATCATAGGATTTTAAAATGAGATTTTTTTTTCTGACTCAATGTCAGCTAAAGCCCCAAAGTACAATTCCATAAGCCTCAGGTAAACTCCGTGTTCTAAAAAAAGGATCCAGACGACTTACATGGGACAGGCAAAGAGAATGAAATGGAATCAGTTCTATCAGCATTCGCCCACCACCTGCCTTCGGCTATGTAAGAAAAGGTAAAGAATTCATTTAGGGGTTGAGTGCTTAGAGACTTTTGTAAGAATTCCTTTGGAGACAATTTTCTGTGTGCTGTGGCTCCCCACTGGCCCCCACCACAAACCATTTGGTGAGCTGGGTATGTAGTGTTTGGACTTTGGGAGGCAAAGGGACTGGGGTTTGATTCCCTCTAGGGAACTACCAAAGGCAAAAGCAGGGAGCCATCCAGACTGAGTCAAGAGAGAGAGGCAGAGATATCTGCTCTGCAGTTGTTTTCCTAGTGAATGACTGATATGACCCTTCCAAAGGGAGCCAGCTAAAGCCATCTGGAGACGGACTCCCACCCAAAGGGCCCCCTAGAGGATCAGGGTGACCAGCACAGGGTGGAAGCCCAGGCGGAAGTTAAAAGGCCAAAAATGGACTTGGGTCCTAGATTCCCTGCAGGAGGACCTGTAAGGAATCACAAAAGCCCCCGTGAGAGAATGTTCCAGCAGCCAGATATCTTCCCCACAAAAGGCCCAGATCACTGTCTGACCAGCCACATAAAACTACGTCGTGGGGCTTCCCTGGTGGCGCAGTGGTTGAGAGTCCGCCTGCCGATGCAGGGGACACGGGTTCGTGCCCCGGTCCGGGAAGATCCCACATGCCGCGGAGCGGCTGGGCCCGTGAGCCATGGCCGCTCAGCCTGAGCGTCCGGAGCCTGTGCTCTGCAACGGGAGAGGCCACAACAGTGAGAGGCCCACGTACCGCAAAAAAAAAAAACAAAAAAACTGTGTCGTTTTCTCCAGGTGGGCCAGACTTTCAGGTCGGGGGGGAGTGATGAGAGGGAGGAGAAAGAAGTAAGAAAACAGAGAGGAAATATCCCTAACCATGCTTCCTTCCCTGCCTGGCTCCTGGTTATATTTGTATTTTTATTGAATTTTTGATATTATGCTGCAGGGATTTTGGAAATACCTGTGAAAATAGGTTGTTACCAGATAGTAACTGGAAGAGGAGAGAAGTGTCTTGAGTTTTCACCCCAGGATAGGGGAAAGAATGAGCTGACACAAGGTTTTTAGCAGAGGCCACAGGTGAGAAACATAATTTGCTTTAATTTGGCACCCTCCCTGTGTCCAGCATTGAAACAACTGGCTTTGCAAATGTAAAAGCCAATTACCAAGCAATAGAGCAAACACACCTGCAATTAATCTCATTCTCTCTTGAAGGGGCTCAAAGGGCAGAAGAGGCTGTGCATCTTCACAACAAGAGGGATTGAGAACCCAGCATGCATCTCCCGGCAGGTTTGAGGACCTGCCTCTCCTCCCCTGTCCTGGTGCATCCCTGGGGAGACTCTGGGGCCCTGGGACTCCCACCTTCTCTGTACCAGCAGGAGGGAGGCAGTCTCCCTGATATTCAATTAAAACCCTTGTGACTCTCTATGGTGCCCAAGACAAGTCACCATCAAGTCTGAAATAAGCAAGCAAATGTACTACTGACTCAGACGAAATTTACCATTCACTTACCTCTTCAGTGACATGAAGGGAGGCCCCATCCCCCGAGCCAGTGTCAGTAATGGGGGAACCATCCACAGTATCAACTGTCTCCAGTGTGTCATTCAGGATCTCACCAGACCCTACAGGAAGCAGGCATTTTGCACTTAATAACTGCATTTTGCAAATGAAAAAGAATGTGGTCTCTCTTCACCTATGACTTGAAAAGATGTCCATAATACAGGATTAAGAGGGAAAAAATGTTGCAGAAAATCGGACAACGAAAGGCAGTATTACGTGGTGGTTTCGATCACAGGCTCTGGCACCAACTATAGGGTGAGAACACTGCTTTGCCGCTTACTAGGAGTGTGACCTGTGGCAAGGCATTTACCCTGTGGCTCAGGTTCCTTGCCTATAAAGAGGGGATCATAATTCCTATCTCCTAGGGTCATTTTGAGGATTATGTGTTACAAGGATTAATTAAACTAATGCAAGAAAGGCACTGAGGACAGTGCCTGACATATAGTTAGCAAGGGATAAATGTTCATTGTCAGTGTGGTTCTACATTTGTAAAAGGAAGAAAAACTATATATGAGAATACACGTTTTATTATCATTATATATATTATCATTATATAATTAATATATTAATTATTATATATAACATATAAAATATATAGATAATTATGTATATATGTGTATGCAGATAAACCACACATACTAGGCTAAACCACAGCACTTAACAGTATTGGTTTCTTCCAGAGGACATCAGAGGAAACTATTTTTTTGATTCATACAACTCGGCATTGATTGAACTGTTACCACAAGCACATATTTCTTTGGCAATTTAAAAAAACAAATGGAGTCCTAAAGCAAAGAAAAAGACATTATACTAACATGAATGCCTGCCTGTTACAGGCTGGGCTGCAGGCTAAGCACATCCCACGCACTGCCTCCTGGAAGTCTCCGGCTGGCCCATCTGTCCTACCCACAAGCACCTCCATACCACCTCGCAGCAGGTGGGCAGAACCAAGGCAGGAATCCTACGTTTTCAGTATCCCCACTGTCACCCCACGGTGTGTGTCCTGCTCTGATCTGCACACTAGCACCTTGTGATTATTAACCCCGTTTTGCAGAGAAGGAACAAGGTCCCACATAAGAGGCTGCGAGGGGCCTGAAGCCAGCCCTTTCTACACACACTGTGCTCATGCACGTCCCATGGTAAGGACACTGTCGAGGGGGAGGTGATGAACTATTCAAGGGACCTTGTGCCCACATGCACTTAAAAGACTGAATGCCCAGCAGTGGTCAGTCTCTCACTGCTCTCTCGTCCTCCCTGATCTGATCACCAGGGGGTGCTGTGCTAGCAGGCAGAGGGACCCCAGGCCTCTGAGTCCCCACCCCTTGGAGGACCGAGTTTTGGGGGGGGGGGACCAAGGTCCTACGCCAAGATGGTGTCAGGGACCCTTGGGATAAAACTCCTGGGAGGCTTTCCCTAGCCAGGGACAGGGCTCGGGGTTCAACCCCTTCCTCCTCACTGAGCTGTCTGCTCAACAAGAATGAGGATCTCTAGCCAGCTCTGCTGTTTCTGCTTGGCCTTCTGTCTGCCACAGAAGTAATCTGGCACATGCCGGGGAACAGGCAAGCTGTGCTTAGTCTGGGTCCCGCCTCCTATGCACTCACCCCTCAGTCTAGGGGAGGCCCTCGTCTCCTGGCCCTGCAGCCTCTGCCCCCTCCTAGCCCCTCTCTCTGAGATCCTAATTCCCCCCAGGAGAGCAGCATGTGCCATTCACAAACCACTTCCACACCCGCAGCCACAGCATTCAGTCCTCTCATCCAGCCGGGAGGCAGGGGTTGTGAATGCTCGCAGTGGACGCCGGAGGAATCCAAAGCTTGGAAATGCTGAGCAACTTGCCCACGCCCGACAGCAAAGAGGTGTCTGAGCAGGGTTTTTGTCCAAAGGGTCTCATCCAGCGGTCTTTCCACGGCTACACCCTGCCTCCTTGCTGGTATTGTAACTTTATTAAATTATTATACAATTGTTTTCTATTCAGTACTATATACCTTCTCTCACAGACAGACTTCCCAAGTTTAGTTGTTAAAATAATATTCATTTACTGAGGGCAGAAGTAAAAGGAATAATGATGCATAGGATTGTAGAAGACAAAATACCGAAGTACAAGAGAAAATAAAAGCCACCTACAACCTACCACCAGAGATGACCACTCACAGCATTCTGTTGTGTATTATTCTAACACACACACACACACACACACACACACACACACAGTGCTCTACATGGTTATATATAAATAGATATAAATAACATATATTCAAATTTAGGGTCACAGCACACATACAGTTTTGAAAGCTGCTTTTCTTGTGGAGTACACCATGATCATGTCTCTGGGTCATTAAATTTTCTGTGTCACCAATTCCAGGGCTGTACATGTGAATGTGGGCAGTCTGGGTTGTTTTTGACCTTGTACCTAAATCTCAGTGCTCTGGCGTTGGCTGTAACTTCAGTTTGAATGGTTACCCCTCTGATAAAGGGCAGAAAATGCAGGCCGATCTCCGGCCATGCTGCTGCCTGGGGGATCCCGTCAGATCCTGTGCAATTGCTTCTGCCAGGGCTCCTCTGTATGGCTGGGCAGGGGTGAGAGCCCTGGATGGGTAGTCAGGAGGCCAGCACTGCCCCCAGGGCCTGCCAATGACCTCCTGGGTGTCTGCCCCTCTTTGGCCATCAGTTAGTTTCCCACATGTGCCAACAGGAGTTTAGATGGCCTGATCCTCAGAGAGTCGGTGAGTTTGTGGCCAAGGCCGGAAAGAGTAGGGATTCTGGAGTCAGGCCTGGGCGCTGGCTCAGTCCCACCACTCACTAGCTGTGTGACTGTGGGCACATCACTCACCTTTCCAAGCATCAGTTTTTCCATCTGTAAAATCCTAGCTAATACTAGCGACTAGTAGACATGTTGTCAGGATTGGAGGGAAAGTATGTAAACACTTGGCACACAGTAGGTATTTAATAAGCAGCCACAATTATCACAAGCTTTTCACACCCCAGGCCCTTCTGGAGGGGTGGAGTCTGGGGGTTAAAAGTTCTGGCATCCAAGATTAAACACCGGCTTTGCCATTTAGGAGCCGTGGAGCCTCGGCTGGGTGACATAACCTCTCTGTGACTCGATTTCCCCATCTTGTTTGGGAAATGAGGGTGATTATAGTCCCTTCCTCAGGGGGTTGAGGGGAAGCTCAAGTGAGATGCTCTCTATCACATACATCGCCCAGTCGTCACTCAACAAAACCCACTGCGTATGAAGGTGCATCGGGGACTTGCCTTGCTTGGGGCTGCTGTGCGGGACGGCGCTCATGTTGGTGGTTTCCTGGGGCCCCTCAGGTACAGGTTCACCGGAAAGCTCTGCATCCTCAGAGGGAGAAGACAGGATTGGAGGTGTGTTGATGGGGCCAACTCTTGCTTCTCTAGACTGCAGGGGAAATGAGACCCAAAGGATTTACTTAGCAGGAGAGCAGAAAAGACAGCAGTGAGTATCACTGGAGAAAACAGTATCTCCACAAAAGCTGAATAAACCCAGAAGAAAACCTAGACCTGCCTATTGTGCACCTGGGCGATCACTGGGCCACCCAGGCCCTAAAAAAGGTGTATGTTAGGGTAATTAAATTTTGTTCAGTTTACAGCAAGACTCTGATACTCTTGGCTGAAGCTCTTTGAGCACAGAGACCATATCCCTGTGATCCCTGCATCCCAGGCCAGCACAGAGGAGGTGCTCAGTAAAGATGCGTTAAAGGGAGGGAGGGAGGGAGGGAGGGAGGGAGGGAGGGAGGAAGGAGGCTGTGCTCAATAAAAGCTGTATAAATCCAATCCCAGAGGTACACTGGCCCTGTATACCTATGAAAAAAAAGATGGGTATGGTTTCCTTTCTAGGAAACTTCAGCTTCTGTGTAACTTTTCCAAAGCCAGTCAATGTCTTCACCACCTTTACCAACTAGGAAAAAGCAAACAAACCAAAAACCCCAACAGTTGGAAACAGAGCAGTTCAGAGAGCTAGGCAGAAATCCTGATAAAGGGCAGCAAAGGTCATCCCCAGACCCAGGATCGGGGAGCAGCTCCTGTGACCCAGGGCTCGTTAGTGGTCAGATAGTCTCATCACTTTCTGAGCTCAAGGGGCTAGGGTGAATGGAGGGATCCTACCGACCAGTGTGGGACCTGTGGTATGAACACGAAACAACTAAGACACTAAGATTTCAGGGTAAGTTTCTTACCATACCTATCACTTACCTATCCTGACTAATAACAGAAGGTTATTTCCTTAATGTCAGAACCTAGTATATAAATGATGACTCTCTGGTCCGTCAGAACAAAGAAGATTCTTATGCGCCCCAAAACTTAGGATTTAATGGTTCAGTTCTTATAACCAAACTCGAGTCAAATCCCAGCTCTCCACTTATTAGCTATATTATATTGAGCAACTCATATAACCTCACTGAGCCTCAGCTTCCTCCTCTGTAAAATGGGGCCAATAATAACTACTTAAAAGTTATAAAATGCATGGAGGTGCTTGGCATAGGGCCAGGCCCATAGTATGAGCCCATAAATGGTAGCTATCATCAACATCCCTAGATGTGATTTCTCTGGGTGTTAATATTAAAGGTGATTATCGTTTTGCTCAACTGTACTTGTAGTTTTTTCCATAATGAATATGGAATACTTGTGTACTAAAAAAAAGATATAGTCTACTGTACCTTAAAATCTCCAGGGTGAGGGCAGAGATGGAAGGCTTCAAGAAGTTGAGCCTTGAAGAATGAACAGTTTCAGAGAACAGGGATGGAAGGAGGCATTGAGGTGAGAAAGGACACAGCACTGCCAGGGCCTGACAACCTGTGCTTGGCCAGGGTTCGAGGATGGAAGCAGGGGGATAAAGCCTGGGGAGGCAGAGAGAGGGAGGGGGCTGGCTCTTAGGTGAGAAGTCTGGCCTTAAACCAGAGGCAACAAACTGTGTCCCTTTGGGTATCAGGATGGGGGAGATGTGGTGTGTACTTTAGGGAGATCAGGTGTGTACTTTAGGGAGTTCACCCTGGTGTCAATGAGAGCATGGATTTGGGGTATTGAAGTTTAGGCCAGGAGACCAGGAGGGTGCACTAAAGAAGCCCAGTGAGGCAGGAACCAAGGGGGTATAGTGGGAGCAGCAAGCAGTCACCGCCCCCCAACCAAGGAGAGGCTGTGAAGAAGACCAAGTTAGAGTTCCCCATTCCCCAGCTGCATGGTGGTCTAGCAAGGCGGTAAGGACCCCTGCCCCAGGCAGGTTCCTCTCCTCTCCCTGCCAAGGGTTGGGGGAAGCCACTTCACCATGGTTCCCTAGCCTGGAGCAAGACTGCTGGTGGCTGGAAGCCAAGTGGCTTTACAAGTGGCTTGGGATTTGAGATGAGGCAGGTAGGGCAGGTGAGCGTACGGGAAACACAGGACAGTCAGGTAAGGGTGGGCTGAGCTCAGTAACTCAAGGTGGCAAAGTTTGACTTATATGAAATCACCAACTCCAGCCTCTCAGCTAAAAACCTCTTCTGGCAAAACCCCAACAAGGCAGCCATGAAGCCTGGGTTCCGGGCAGAGCTGGTGAGCTGACCCTCGGCAGTCAGGGTCAGGTGTCCTGTCTCCAACAGGCTGCTGCTGTTTTTCAGGCATTAGTGTGGATGGAGAACCAGTGTGGCCTGTGACAAAATGGGAATGTCAAGCCTTAAGAGTTTTTAATTAAAATGTGGTAATTTGGGCTTCCCTGGTGGCGCAGGGGTTGAGAGTCCGCCTGCCGATGCAGGGGACACGGGTTCGTGCCCCGGTCTGGGAAGATACCACGTGCCGCGGAGCGGCTGGGCCCGTGAGCCATGGCTGCTGAGCCTGCGCGTCCAGAGCCTGTGCTCTGCAACGGGAGAGGCCACAACAGTGAGAGCCCCGCGTACCACAAAAAAAAAAAAAAAAGGGGTAATTTGCTGGCCCACGTTCAACACATATTTCCTGAAGCCCTACTGTGTGCCATGTCTTGGCTGATCCCCAGGATATAGAAGTGAGTAAATAAGAAGGGCATCTGTCCTTAAACTGCTGGACTACGGGGAGATGCAGACCCAGACCCAACTAACTGTGATGGATGTGACACTTGGGATTGCCGGAGTGAGAGTCACGCGTGAGGAGGGCAGCGTGGCTGTGGCCTCCAATGATGGGCTATGGACTGGATCCTGAAGGAGTGGGAATTGGCCAGGCAGAGACAGGGGTGGGCAAGGGCCCTCCGGGCAAACAGAACCTGCAAGAGCCAAGGCACAGATGAGGAGTGAAAGGGTGTGTTGTGTTGGGAATCTGTGAGCATTTGGGTGTGGGTGGAAGAGAGGTCCTGGCTGTGGCGCAGAATCACCTGCAGAGTTTTGTGTAAGTACGGACCATCAGATCTTACTCCTGACCTACTGAATCTGAATGTCCAGGTATGCAGCCCAGGCAAGAGGCTTTTTTTAAGACCCTCCCCCAGCACACACACCCCTACACGCACACATACGCACAACACATACAAGCACACATACATACAGACACAGACATATATACACAGACACATATGGACATATAAATAAACACACACACACACACACGTTCAGGACTTTGATGCACAGCCAGGGCTGAGAACCCTAAGGTATTAATTCTAACTCGTCAAAGATAGAGCTTTCCAGAAATGGAAAGGTGTGTCAGCACATGCTGACTTAGCAGGGGGAAGAATTGGGGAGCAGGGACTCCTACCCTAAATGGGGAAGGAGGCCAGGAGGGCCTGGCTTTTTAAGGCCCTGAGTGCTCAGGCAGTCCATGATTCAGTTCGCTAGTCATGGCTTGTGTCCTGGAGGGCGGCAGGGCTGGAAAGGCTGAGGACAGGGAAGTGAGATTCATTCCAAGAGAGAAGCCAGACAGAGAGGGGAGGGGAATGTCTGAGCCGAGGAGAGTAATTCCACCACCACCACCACCACCACCACCACCATCCCCACCCCCCACCACCCCCACCCCCCACCACCCCCACCCCCGCCCTGGAGGGGGCGGGGCAAGGCTGGTGGCCAGGGAGGGGAGCCTTCCAGGAGAGGGTGAAAGGGAGAAGTCCCTAGCTGGGGGTGACATGACTGATAGCAGCCTGGGTCCAGCCTGGAGACCTGGCTCTGCCACCTCCAGGCTGGGCAGCCCCGGGGCAAAGCACTTCACTTGTGTTTACCTCAGTGCCTCCTCTGGGGAATGAATGGAAAACACCACCCTGCAAAGAAGGTTACAGCTCTCCCTGACCAGCACCCGCCTCCATGACGTCTCATGCTCCTAAGCCCCACTCCCCTTTCCTGTCCGTCGCTCAGGGCCACCTCGGGTTATTAGCCTCTCTGCTCAAGTCAGCCTCACTCCTAGCTGTGAACTGGTACCCTGGGGGCGGGGGGCAGCGTCAGGCTAGAAAGCCCAGGGGACCACGGCTCTGTGCCCTGCTGCCCTATGCCCTGGACATGCCAATGGGGTGGCCAAGGGCTGATGCGCACACAGAATTGCAACACTGCCCAGAGAAGCCACCCGCCAGTCACCACCTAGGCGGGCACCTTGGACCCTTGACTTTCTCCATCTCAGCTACCCCCAAATCGGCTGTGGTCCTGAGGATGCACCCCTGCGACACCGCCCAGGCCGGCAGCACAGGGTCACGGCCTGAACCCTCGATGGGGCATGAGGGGACCTGTGCTCTAGCCTCAGCTCAGCCACACACCCTAGGGCCAGTCTCCTGCCCTCTCTGGGCCTCAGTTTGCTCATTTGTACAAAGGGCAGTTTTCTGTACACATCTGAACAGAAAGAGGTGACCTTTAAGTCCCTCCCACACTAACAGACTCTGGTCCTGTTCTGCACCATCCACCCCTCTGTCACTGGAGGTCTATAATTTAAAGCCCCCACCTTATTTCTAGCTCCCTGCTTTCTTCTATCAGAGATGAGTCTGTAGACTGAGCCAGACCAGTCGAGGAGATGGCTGGGGCTTCTGTGCTCAGTGACTCAGACAGTGCCGGCTGTTTTCATTACAACAGGCTCCTTGGTGTCTCCACAGTCTGATTCAGTGCTTTCAAAACCACTTCCTTGTCTTGGCCACGGGGCACATTCCCAGGAGGGAGGAGGCCCACACCACTGGGAGGCTGGCTGCCTTTCCCATGGGGCCAGAAACGAGCTCCTGGGAGGACTCTGCATCTCATAGGAGTGGGGGCCCCAACTTCCTTCTCACAGCCAGAGCCCTGAGCAAATGTGACAACAGCCACCGTTCAGGGCCACCTCCCTTGTGCCAGGCACTGGGCCGAGACCTGCCCCTGCATGGCCTCATCTAACCTCACAAGGACCTCATGAGATAGCACGCTGATTATTGTTTTATGGGAGAGGGGCTGAGGCTCAGAGAGGCTGAGTAAGTCACCTAAGCTCACACAGCTGGGAGGTGACAGAGCACAAAGTTCATCTTTGGACAGCCCTCTCGTGGCCACAGCACAGGGTGGCACCCAGGTAACGGTGTTCCCCTGCAGTTGGGATTTTGCAAAGTGCCCATTGGCCAGTGTTTTCCTGACCTCCCCAGGTGAACTGTCTAATGAAGTCACAGTTCTGAGAACAGAGACGTCAGACCAGGACTCTCTGATATCGCCTAGCCCCCTAAAAGCCAACTAAGAGGACATGGCACAGCATCCAGTACTCACCGGGGCTTGAGTGTAGGTGACGGCTTCCAAGATCTCAGCTACTCTGTCTGTATCCTGAAGCCCGCTGGTCTCTCCTGACGCCTGTGTGGAGACAAATCATGCTGGGCAGAGGGGGGCAGTTTACAACTGCAGAGTCACAGAAATGAACTCCTGTGGAGGAACGGTGCGTGTGTGAAAGAGAAAGAGAGAGATGGAGATGGATGGAGACAGAGGGAGTGGGATGGAGAAGACAGCATACGTCTTGGCTATTCTTTCTGTTTCCTTCCACATTTTATTGCTCAAACAAAAAACTACAATCAGTGTAGTCTCTCTAACATACCTACCTGCATTTTGCCCAGGTGCCCTTCAATCTCGATCAAAAGGCACTCCCTCTTTGTGCGACTGTCGCCAGAATTCCTCACTGGGAGTCATTACATTTGAAATACATCCTCCCTTTGCTACCTAGTCTTCAGGGTTAGCCCCCTAATGGCAGCCAAGACACCGTATGCCATGATTTTGTAACTTATTTGTGGACCTTGGGTTGTTTCTGTTTGTTCAATAGCAACACGGAGATGAAGGAATAAATACACACAAAGCTTCCCTTCTTTCAGCGTCATGCGAACGCCAGGCTGGGATCACAGCCTCAAGGAGAGCAAACATTCTCACAGATCCAAGTTCCACCTTGGAGGGACTTTCCAACGACACTGGCAGCAGTTTTTACTAAATGAATAAAATCAGCTTATTTTAGCTTTGGGGCTGACACCACCCAAAGAGGGGCAGAAGCTCTAGGAATACGCCACGCTCTGCCCATCTCTGCCTTTCCTGCATTATTGCCATGGCTTCTGCCGAGAACACCTCTTCTTCATCTGGATGACACTTGCCTGTCACCGGTCAGGCATCAGCTCCAGCCTGACTGGCTTCCCACTGCTCCTCCCCCACCTTCCTGTCCTACCTGACCTCTAGAATTTGGGTCTGAGGGCCACTCACACTCAGCTCTGTCACTGCAGTTTGGGTGTGTGTGAGCATCTGGAGGATAGAGACAGTTCCCAGTTCATCCCTTTATCTCCAGCATCTCCCCAGGTCTGTCACCTTGCAGGTGCTCAGTCAATTCTGGCGGGGGGGAGGGAGGGAAGGAGGGGGGAAAGGACCCATCTTTTGTCCCCTGCCCACCACCACTGCCCCCCAGCTGAGGAACTGATTCATTTGCCAAGCATAAAAGCTAAATTTAGTTTTGCTTTTATAAGAATTTACACCCAGAATGTCTTTGAGTTTTTACTTTGATTTTAGAATCCTGACACCCTTTCTTGGCAGGAAGTCTGGAAACCACACCATTGACTGGCACGGCCACGGAAGAACCTAACACCTTAGAAGAAACGCAACTCCTCCCCCACACACACCAAAGACATGGCTGAAGTTCTTAAAAATAATAATAAAGCCAAAAAGCCCAAAATAGGACTTGATGCAGTGCTTGCCAAGATGAGAGATTTCAGAGACTCCATGACGTTGGGAATGAAAAATTGCCTGGGCGCCAGCTTCTCTGGCTGCCGGGGGGAGGTAGGGGCTCACCGAGGATTCTTCAGCTTCACACAGCTCCTCGGGAGTCCTGGGGTCACGGTGGATGGTAAGCTGCTGTATAGACCCCTAGGGAAAAGCAGAGGGGTCAGAGGCCACGTCTACAGCACAAGCAGCCGTGGGAAACATGACTTTTTTGTAACAGAGAAGAAGCCGTGAAAGGACAGGTGTGAGGAGTGCCGCCCAGAGCCATGACAAGGAAACCAAGCCACCTCCAGACCTGTTCTCATTCAGGGGCATGCTCCTTGGGCCAATGTAATATGAGCCCCACTAACTAGAGAGGTCCTTGGAGAGCATGGTGTTCAAAGCATAGACTAACAGCAGCCTCCTAACTGGTCCCCAGGTCCCCAGCTTGTCAACAACGAGCCCTAAAATGCACGCCTCCCGCACCAGAAAGTGTCTCTCCCCCATGGCTCAATGCTTCCCAGCTGGAAGGAACTGTCCCCAGAGTAGGTGTCCACCAACCTCCCTGCTTCCACTCTGCCTCCCCTCTCCACACCTGACAGCCCGTTCTCCACGACTATCCCCAAGCAAGCGTTTCAAAATTATTCATCGGATTTTAACTTCTTAAAATCCACTGTCCTACAGATAAACCCAAACCCCAGGCCACAGGCCTGTCCTGAATCAGTTGGGAAGGTATCAGTAAGAATAGTGCTGACTAAATGAATAACTACAGTAACTTAGGGATCTGCTTTAGAATGGCTTATTCATAAAAAACATTTTGGGCTTCCCTGGTGGCGGTGGTGGAGAGTCCGCCTGCCGATGCAGGGGACACGGGTTCGTGCCCCGGTCCAGGAAGATCCCACATGCCGCGGAGCGGCTGGGCCCGTGAGCCATGGCCGCTGAGCCTGAGCATCCGGAGCCTGTGCTCCGCAACGGGAGAGGCCACAACAGTGAGAGGCCCATGTACCGCAAAAAACAAAAAAACCATTTTGACAGCAAAATCAGTTTTCCGGTATTTTTTTCAAGTCGCATTATCCAAAAGGAGAGAGAGAAACTACCTCACACTCCGGCATCCCAGCTATTCCACCTTTGTAGAAATTACATGCAACTGCCACCCTTTTCCAAAGATAAAATCACTGAAGGATCTAACAAACCTTACCCTTTCTATAATGCCTTAAAACATACAAAGTGCTTTCACACAGGCTAGCTCACGTGACTCCACAACCCTGCGGCCTAGGTTTTCTTATCCCTACTTATAGATAAGAAAACACAGAGAAGAGCAGAGAATCCAGATACTGTCTAAAATCATCAAGCTACACTGAAAACTCAGCGCTGGAATCTAGGTTTTGTATTCTGGGCCTAGCTTTCTCCCACCAGCATACATGCCTCTTTGAGGACATAAGAATAAGATAATAACAAGAATAGTTGCTTGTGTTTGTCGCACGGTGTCCAGAGGCCCCCCTGATCTGCAGGGCTCGGACTCACAGTGAATCTCTCCAGCCCCGTGGCTCCTGCGTTGCCGACGAAGATTCCCGCGCTGGGCTCGAAGGCCAAGACCCGGGAGGACCTCGGGAAGGGGACGTGGCTGTGTTCTTCGCAGTCCACAAGGAGGGTCACTTCCTCGCCCTGGACAACCATGGCAAAGCGGTTCCACCTGTGGGTCATCACGGGCACCGGGAAGGCGGCAGCCTCGTGGGACACCTTGGAGCCGGGCTCCGTATAGTACAGGATGACCCGCTGGCTGCCGTCCTCCACTCCTGAGAGCCGCAGGCCCAGGTAGATGACCTTCTGGAAGGCATCTGTGATAGCAAAGAGCACGCCGCCTCGGGCACTGCTGGGCTTTGCCATCACGCTGATGGCAAAGTCCCTGAAGAAGGTGGGTGGGATGAGGGTCCTGGCCGGGCGGCCGACGTTGGCACCAGGCCCGAAACTGTAGGCCGGGAAGCCACCATAGCCAGTGACAAAGGACACGGACGAGGGCAGCGGGACACCGATGAGCTCCGTGAGGTCCAGGTGGCCCTGGGAAGCCAATTCTGCAGGGAGGGAGAGAGGAGGCCATGCTTCACATATATATTCGACTACGCTTGGAAATGAGGAAGACATAAATTCAGGAATGAAATGGGATCCTTCAGGAACCCCACTGTTGTGTCTTAATTATTGTTTTTCAAACTTTTTTGACAACGACCGACAATAAGAAATGCATTTACATGGCCACCCAATATGCACGTTTAGACAAATATATATCTGTAATAGCGAAACAGATGTTTCATAAAACATTATTTACTTTTAATACTTACCAGGCATTATGATATTTTCCTTTCTGTTTAACAATTCTTTTTCTCTTTTGTTTTATTAAAAACATGCTGGAAACAACCTACTGAATTGATATCATTACCCATGAACAAGTCATGATTAGCAGTTTGGAAAACATTTAAAAATATTCCTAGAATATCCCTACAGTGTTCCCCCATCAACTTAAGGATTTTTTTCCCCATTTCTTTCTTTAAAAGAGGATAGGTTTGGGACTTCCCTGGTGGCACAGTGGTTAAGAATCCACCTGCCAATGCAGGGGACACAGGTTCGAGCCCTGGTTCGGGAAGATCCCACATGCCGCGGAGCAACTAACCCCGCGAGCCACAACTACTGAGCCCGCTTGCCTAGAGCCCGTGCTCCGCGACAAGAGAAGCCACCGCAATGAGAAGCCCACACACCAAAACGACACTCGCCGCAACTAGAGAAAAGCCCGTGCACAGCAACGAAGACCTGACGCAGCCAAATAAATAAATTAATTAATTTTTTAAAAAGTGGATAGGTTTATTTTGTTTTGTTTTATTTTGAATGAGGTCTACTGTTTAAGTGCCTCAGGGTGTGGGGAAAAAAGCAGGGACAAAACCAAGTGTTCTCAGACCTTATGACAACTGAAATCCATATCATCGTCATCGCCCTTTGTCACTGTCGTCATCATGGTCAGCATCACCCGCATTCCCCGGGCTCTCACTCTTACCAGGCTCTAATCTCTTCATATACATTAGCTAGCTCATTTACTCCTCACAACAACTCCATGAGGGTAGGTACTATTATCCCCATTCTACCCCAGAGAAAACTTAGAGAAGGTAAGAAATTTGCCCAAGGTAAGCCCCTCAGGAGAGCATCCCACTAATGAGGTGTGTTCTTAACCACTATCCCTTGGGGGGAGAAATAATATGCCTCCATTGTGGTGGCCTGGAAAGGACCCCAGGTTCATGAGCCTTGGTCCACCCAACCACTGTCCCCTGGGAGAAGGCTGCAGGCTGGCTTGCAGTGACGTGCACCCCTGTGCACCTGCGGTGATGAGATAGGAAGGCAGGTCCCAGAGAGAGGTGGGCAGGAGCTCTGCAGGCGGGACAACAGATGCAAACTGGATTTTGAAAAAGGAATGCTTGAAAAAAGGAATGTAAGATATTCATTTTGTTTAATATGTTTAGATTGATTTCATGTTGAGATGATAATTTGGGGAAATTCTGGGCTAAATAAAATATATTATTAACATTTTTAGAACAAGAATAACATGAGGAACAGGCATGGGCCCACCACTCCACTTAAGAAAGAAAATATCAACTCAGCTGAAGCTCTCATGGACTCTCTGATCCTATTCTCCCTGCCTATGCCCCAGAGGCAGCCACTCTGGGGGTCTGGTGTTTATTATCCCCATGCATGCCTTTGTGTGTTTACTACATGACTATATGTCTCTAACAGAATGCAGCACTGCTGTGCCTGTCTACTAACCTCATATAAATGTTGGCATGCTGCATGTGTTCTGGAACTTTTTTATTTTCCACTCAACGCTGTATTTTTGAGATTTATCCCTGTTGAGACGTGTGGTTCCAGGTCTCATATTTTCACAGCAGTACTCTAGGTATACATAAGCCACTATGGATTAGTTCACATTTCTGCTGATGAGTGAGGTTACCATCACTATTACAACCATTACTACTATGGACTTTCTTATACACATCTCCTTGTGCTTACCTGTGCAGGTAATTCCACCACTTAGGGTAGAATTATTGGATGATATGGGTATATGCATCTGCAACTTCACTGAGTGTGGCTAAATTGTTCTCTTAAGCAACTGTGCCATTTTTAAAAAATTGAGATATAACAGACATGTAATATTGTGTAAGTTTAAGGTGAACAAAGTGTTGATATGATACTTATATTATGTATTGCAGTATGATTACTTCCCTAGCATTAGCTAACACCTACATTATATACCATAATTATCATTTCTTTTTGGATGCAATTATTATCTTAACTATCATTAAGATGCAACTGTGCCATTTTACATGTCCACCAGAAGCATGTTCTTGCCAACATTTAGAGGAGGTAGAGAGATGAGATTTGGGGAGTGGTCCATGGGGCTTTTCAACTACAGTGATGATGTTTATTTCTTTTTTTTTTTTTTTGTGGTACGCGGGCCTCTCACTGCTGTGGCCTCTCCCGTTGCGGAGCACAGGCTCCGGACGTGCAGGCTCAGCGGCCATGGCTCACGGGCCCAGCCACTCCGCGGTATGGGGGATCCTCCCGGACCGGGGCACAAACCGTGTCCCCTGCATCGGCAGGCGGACTCTCAACCACTGTGCCACCAGGGAAGCCTTTTATTTCTTAAACTAGATGATATTCAAAAGTATTCCTTGTAGTATTCTTTATAAAAAAGCCATGGAAAATATTTCACAACACTCAAATGAAAACGATTGTCCCATCCTCAACAAAGGGCAAATCTGATCATGTTGAGAAGGCTTCTCTGGCCATCTGTGCCCTCAGGGTCTGCGGCAGCCTGGGCACCTGGCTGGAGAGGCCTTTGTGGTCTAGACCCAGCCGCACTCTGACTACCCAGCACTCCCGACGCCCTCCCTCCAGTGCCCCAGGCCATCACAGGTCCCCTCCCCTCCTTGTCAAATGCTCTTCCCTCTGCCACCACCCCACCTCACCCCACCAGTTATTTTTACCAGAATAACTAACTCCTCATTCTCCAAGACTCCCTCCCATGAAATCCCTTGTTTCACCTCCTGACCTACATCTCCTTCCAGGCCCGCATCAGATGCCCCCTCAATATATACTGAGGTCTTCCACTTCCACTCCCAGCACACTGCAGGTCCCTGTTGGGTCACTTGTCTCTCTCCCCATTGTACCACAAGAACGTGGACCACACCATTTATCTCTGTGTTCCCAGTATCCAGCTCAGTGCTGATGAATGAATGCATGAAAAGATGAACAAATAAATGAATGAAGTCCAACCCCTTCAGTTTACAGAAAGAAGGCAAAATTGAGGTTAAAGGAGGGAAGGGATCTGGTGGCTAAAAGCAGATCTGATTCTCAATCCAATGCTTTTTCTGTCCAGTTTGCAACTTGCAATAAAACAGAAACTAAAGTATGACAAACCCCAGAAGGCAAAAATAACAAGATTTATAAATTTCATTAAATTTAACAACACATAAATTTTTAAAGTTCTGCATAGCAAAAATAAATCCCCACAGTGTCAAATAAAATCCCAACCTGGACAAAAATATTTGCTACATATATCACAGGCAACAGATGAATTACGCTAATACACAAAACAAACGAATAAGCAGGAGGCCAAAAATCCAACAGAAAAATGGGCAAAGAACAGGAAATTCTTTCCACAGTAAAAGAAAAAAAAATGGCTCTTAAACATATGAAACAATACTCAACCTCATTCAGAACAAGAGAGATAACAAGTAAGATTATGAAGATACCATTTTCCCTATCAGATTGGCAAAGATCAGAATGTTGGATAATATTCTGTTTAGCAAGAGTTTGAGGAAACAGGCCATCGCATGCATCGCTGGTGGGACTGTAAACTGGCACAACAACTGTGGGAGGGGCACTTTGACGATATTTATCAAAAGTAAAAGTGCATATGTACTCTTTGACCCAGGAGTTATACATCTATGAATTTTTAGAACAGATATAGTTACAAATGTGACATATAAAGCACTTACAAGAATATCCATTGCAGTATTGTTTAAAATGTATCTAAATGTATCTAAACCATTCTGTCTTGGAATTCTTGGGGAATGGTTAAATAAATAATAACTTTTGGGACTTCCCTGGAGGCACATTGGTTAAGGATCCACCTGCCAATGCAGGGGACACGGGTTCGAGCCCTGGTCCGGGAAGATCCCACATGCCATGGAGCAACTAAGTCCGTGCACCACAACTACTGAGCCTGCGCTCTAGAGCCTGTGAGTCACAACTACTGAAGCCCGCGAGCCACAACTACTGAAGCTTGTGCACCTAGAGCCCATGCTCCGCAATGAGAGAAGCCACCACAATGAGAAGCCCGCGCACCGCAACGAAGAGTAGCCTCCGCTCGCCGCAACTAGAGAAAGCCCATGTGCAGCAACAAAGACCCAACACAGCCACAAATAAATCTATAAATTTCTAAAAAAAAAAAAAGTAACTTTTGATATACCCATACAACGAAATACAATGCAGCCTTTAAAAAGGTATGGTTCCTTAGGTTTTAATATGAAACAAGATGTATTAACTAGAAACAAACATATAAGAAAGACAAGGTGCAGAATAGAATTGCTATCAGTTGGAAATACATATATTAATACATAAATATATAAAATATATTTTAATATATATATTAAATACATCTAGAAAGATACACCAGAAACTGGGACCAGAGATTGTCTCCAAGGAACAGTGCTGGTGGCTGGGAGACGACAGGAGACTTTCTTTTCACTGGATATTCTTTTCTACTTTTTGAATTTTACCCCAAGTACATGATGTGAAAAATAAAGACATTTACATATTTTTAAAGGTGTTAACACCCTACATCCCCTTTTAGAAAGTATAAAACCTTTTCTTCATGTTTCTCCTCACTCAAATACAGCCCATCTCTATAGAAAGAAGAAAAAGTGAAAAGAAAAGAAATAGAAAAGCAAGCAACCCACTGAGATTTCTTTCCTCCCCTCCACAGTTTAAAGATAAAAACAAACAAAACCATGAGTACCCTGCTGATAGC